CTTGTGCATGAAAGTACTTATTGGCTTAAAGTAAATTAAATGCTAGTATTTAGCACACAGCCTTACGGTTTACGGCTGTTTTTCTTCTCGCTTTTTTTTTGGTGGGGGAGGGGGTGGGAATAGATTTCTCCTTGTCAATGTTGGTACCTTATAGACACTGATGATGAGAATTACTCAAGTACAAATGTAGCAAAGATGCCTCCTAGTGGCTGCCTGCTGGAATTGCATTTGAGTCTTGCAAATTATTCGTTGGGGAAATAATTTTTGAGTACAGTGTGTATGAAGCACTCTGCTGTATGTACAAGCACGTGATCTTTGCCCTCTTGGAGCTTCCAGTCTAGGAAAGGGGGAAGGCATTCATCAAATGATCATAAAAACTGAATTTTTTTTTGTTATGTGGAGTTTCTCCCTTGTCACCCAGGCTGGAGTGCAGTGGTGCAATCTCAGCTCATTGTAACCTCAACACTTCCCAGGTTCAAACGATTCTCCTGACTCAGCCTTCCAAATAGCTGAGATTACAGGTGCCCACCACCACACCCAGCTAATTTTTGTGTATTTTGTATAGACGAGGTTTTGCCATGTTGGCCAGGCTGGTCTCGAAGTTCTGACCTCAGGTGATCAATCCGCCTCAGCCTCTCAAAGTGCTGGGATTACAAGTGTGAGCCACTGCACCCAGATAAAACTGAAAACTTTTAATTCTTCTTTTTTTTTTTTTTTTTTGAGATGGAGTTTCACTCTTGTTGCCCAGGATAGAGTACAGTAGCACAATCTTGGCTCACCACAACCTCCGCCTCTCGGGTTCAGGCGATTCTCCTGCCTCAGCCTCCCAAGTAGCTGGAATTACAGGTGTGCGCCACCAAGCCAAGCTAATTTTTTTATTTTTAGTAGAGATGGGGTTTCTCCATGTTGGTCAGGCTGGTCTCAAACTCCTGACCTCAGATGATCCTCCGGCCTCAGCCTCCTAAAGTGCCAGAATTACAGGCATGAGCTACCATGCCTGGCCTCCTTTAAACTATTTTTAAGTATCCTATCCTACTTTAGCCCTTAATATTCCTCCTGAGAGCCTTCAAAACCTCTTTTTTTTCTTTAATTAGCAAAGTGAAATAACTATGAAAAAAAGTTATATTTCTGGTCTACCTGGTTTTAGAAAGAAGGCTAGAGAATTATAACTATTAAGATATCTTACCTTGGCTATGCTAGATGGGGGTAGTATTTCCAAAGAAAATGTCTCTGAGAAAATACAAATTTGTTTTTATTTTAAGAGACAGGGTTTCATTCTGTTATTCAGGCTGGATTGCAGTGGCATGATGACAGCTCAGTGCAACCTCTACCTCCCAGGCTCAGGTTATCCTCCTACCTCAGCCTCTCAAGTAACTGGGATTACAGGCTGAGCTACCATGTTTAGCTAATTTTTTCTTTTTTGAGGAGATGGGGTCTCACTGTGTTGCTGGACTTGTCCTGGGCTTAAGCCATTCTCCTACCTTGGCCTCCTAAAGTGCTGAGTTTACAGACATGAGCCACCACATCCAACTACTACTCATGATTTTTAACCTAGCAGCTGGAAAGATGGAGTTGAAATGACTGGAACATCAGTGAAAAGGAGAGGTTGGAAGTTGAGTTTTGGACACATTACCCTTTAGGCACTTTTTAGACATTAAGATGGTGAGACCTATTTGGCTTCCCATTATAAGAATTGATTTCAGGTGAGGTCCAGGCTGGAGATTTTAATTTGGGGGAGCCAGTAGCATATTGATAGTATCCAAAGTCTTGAGGTCATGTAGGGATTGAGTACAGAGAGAAAAGGGGGAAGGTCTAGTGGCTGAGCCTTGAGATACTCTCACTATTCAGACTTGGAGGATGTGCTCTGGCTCCACTCGAGGGTTGGATTCAAATTTTAAAAGAGTTAGGGGATATGAATGGAAGAACAAGGTAAAACAGCTAAGAGCTGTAAGTCGAATAGCAGGAAATTTGGGAGAGGGTGCCCTGGAAGCTAAGTGAAGAAAGTGTTTCCAGAAAGAAGGTGTTTCAAATACTGTTGTAATTTAGGTGGAGGGGGGATTGAATGACCGTGGGATTTAGTATTGTGGAGGTCATTGGTGACCTTGACAAAGAAAGTAGCTTTTGGTAGAATAGAGAGCCCACAACCATGATTGGGGTTAAAGAAAGAACTATCTTCTTGACTAGGAGGAATAAAAATTGATACAGCAAGTTTAGACAGTTTTTGGTAGAAGTTACCTTATTTCAACATAATTTTGTAAATACATACAGAAATTAATTAAAATTTTGATAAAAGGGCTTATACAAGACAAAATCGTTTTAGTGATAAAACTTTTTTCCTCTTGATTTTTCTTGTAACATAAATATTTTCTTTTCAAAAATAATATCTTTTAGATTTTAATATTTAAGCTAAAAAGGCTTTGTCTTACTACTTTTCAAACTATTATTCTGATATTTGGAAATTTTTTTGTGTGTGAGATGGAGTCTCACTCTCAGGTGGGAGTGCAGTGGCATGATCTCAGCTCACTGCAACCTCTGCTTCCCAGGTTCAAGTAATTTTCCTGCCTCAGCCTCCTGAGTAGCTGGGATTATAGGCATGTGCCACCACACGTGGCTGATATTTGTATTTTTAGTAGAGACAGGGTCTCATCATGTTAGCCAGGCTGGTCTCGAACTCCTGACCTCTGGTGATCCGCTTGCCTCAGCTTCCCTCAGCTGGGATTACAAGTGTGAGCCACTGCAACCAGCCCAGAACAAATATTTTTAAAAGAGCTATGCTGGCCGGGCACAGTGGCTCATGCCTGTAATCCCAGCACTTTGAGAGGCTAAGGCGGGCGATCATGATGTCAGGAGTCTGAGACCAGCCTGGCCAACATAGTGAAACCTCGTGCCTACTAAAAATACAAAAAATTAGCTGGGCGTAGTAGCAGGCGCCTGTAATCCCAGCTACTCGG